TTGTAGCATTATTTCGACTAGTTATGTTGTACATAGACATAAAAAAAACATACATCATTGTAAAATTAATACATTCTTCACTTCGTTCAGAATCTAAAATTTTTTGTCAACTTTCCGCCTAAAATGTATTTTAATTAAAATATTTTATATGAACACATAGTTATTTACTATATAGTCTTTGATCACCATACCGCTTACACTTGTCCATAGTTAAACGAATTTTKAATACTTTATGTTTGAAGTATATATCCAAAATACTGGGTATTTTTATTAAATAACGAGTATATAATAAAGAAATTTACCAAATTTATATTTATTGGGTATTTACTAATTATCCATCACTTTATCTATATTTATATTTATATATAATGTTATGTGTATTATCTTTGATTTGATAATAATGCAAATACATAATTRTACATATAGCTGTAGTATAGATATATGAGTAAATAGTGATTTATATACATATAGGTTGTTGTCATTTTAGATTTTTTTCTGATGTCTGATTGTTATTTTTTATTGTTGTGTAACTACTGTAACTAAACCTAATAATATACCTTTCGGCTTATCAAATTTTATTAGAGATGTTACAAACCATAATATAAGGTCGAACCGAACCCGAACTGAACTTTTATTTAAATTAACGAACTCGAACAGATCCGAACCTATACACTTTTAATCGAACTCGAACCGAACATTAAAAGTTAAATTTGATATTATTTTATTTAATATTTATTTATTTATTTATTTATTTATTTATCATTTAGCCACCATACCTCAGAATTATTGAATAAAGATTTTACTACTATTTACTTAAATACTTTAAATACTTTAATAGTTAATAATTATGCATGAGATTTTTAATTTTTAATTATTAATATGATGATAACTGATGAGAAAAAGCGAAAAACATTAATATTTTAAACAAGCAAACATTAAACAACTAATAAAATCTATTTTTGTATCGAGGGTTTTCATAACGAGGTCCCCCTTCCCCACCGCACAGAGTATTTACTATCTAGACAGTCTCGGATAATGCGCTGAATGGTCATTGGCTATGAGTGGTAGGAAAGGTGTGAGGTGGCCGGTTAAAACACGCAATTAACAATAACARTAGTAATAACTAATAACTTATAAATAATAAATATTAATTATTTATKATTTATTAATAATTTATAATTTTAGCCGTTACTCCATCGACTTATATTTTTATTTCTCTAGTTCGATTATCGAACCGAACTATTAGATATTTGGTTCGGTTCGATTATTTGGAATTTCYAGTTTGGTGTTCGAAAATCGAACAGTTCATAACATCTCTAAATTTTATATTAGTGCCGCGTGATAATTTATAAATCGTAAATTAACCATGCTACGATATTATAACATATTACTTCATATTTCAATTTGYCCATCATACCTACAATCATTGTTGTCAATACTGTACTTTTTTTCGTTTCCTACTGCCTGATTCAGGTTCTACTGTCGCGGCCGTTATCCAGTAAGGCCAGTGTCGTGCTAGAAACAGTTTTCAAACTACACTGCTGTCTTCCGAGATTACTCATTAGTTATTACTTWATTACCTACCTATGGTATGTTACTCATTTGGTATAATATTATCGACACACCGTCCTCACTCGCACGTACAAGTCGTGTGCTAAGAGAAGGAGGATGGTACATTGGTACGAGAGCTTAAAAAAAATAATTATAATAAATAATAATAGAATAACAATAACAATAATAACTGCACCATATAGATGACTTACGAGTATTATAATTCATATTTTACTATTTAGTGTACACCGTGTCGCTGTACTGTAATAACATTCTAATATAGTACGCACACTACTTATATTATGCCCGTCGGGTGGACGTCGTAACCGCCGCTGCCGCTGCCGCCGCCTAGGTCGTACGCTCACTCCTCGTACCCACCACTCGAGATTTCTATTTGGTTATAACTTTTCCGTCTCTTCTTCTGCTTTTCGTCTTCCCCGTAGTTCTACCCCACTTCGCCAACGACGACGCTGACGACCGTGTAGGCAGGCGCAGGTGGCACGGCGATGTACAGGTAGCCGTCCCGGTCGCCGGTCGGTCGTAGGTATATACCTACAGTAGTTTTTAAATTATTATTATTATTATCGTATACCTATGTACATGACGTATAAAGTTACGTGAACACCGCGATAGCGCACGCACGATCACATYGTTAGTGCCAGGAACCGACAACAGGTGACGCTACTATAGCGTCGTCGTTCGAAGGGCACCGACACCGTAGCCGCAGCCGCCGCCGACTCCCACTCAGCCACCGTACTCCCCCCACTGCACCGTACAGGTCGTCACCCGCGCACCTTGGCATCTGACGGCCACCGCCGTTGACGACGACACGACGGAACCAGTACCCAATACCAGCAGAGGCTGAGCGATCGGGTACCTGTTTCGTTAGTCTCTCGTCAGTATCAGTRTTTATCCGTAACGACTAAATARCAAGTACGTCTCGCCGTGTATGTACGCGCCCTGCGTGAGTGCGTCGTTATACAGTGCGTCCGCGTCCGTCCGCCCGTTCGTTCGTTCGCCGCATTTTTTCGGCGCGGATCGATGCGTTTTTTTATTCGACGGCGCGAATTACGATTTTTATTATTTATTAATCGTTTCACTCGATCCGGACGGTAGTCGTCGTTACGACGTGACGTATGCGTGCGCCAGTAGTGTTCCGTTTTCYATTTCCCGATAACAGCGGCTCCGCCGCCGCGTGTGGACACATCGGGTTTTCCGACGTCCGTCCTACTATCACGTAAGTGTAAATTCCAAAAGTCGACTTGTAATTATTATTATGACACAGGAATATCGCTGATTTTATATTTTTATCCATCRTCCATGCGATAAGCAGGCAATGTGTACTTACCCGTGTTATCGCCGTCGTTACTGTCCGACGACATGCGCGTATTGTTACGTACCTTCCGGTTCGAAACGATTAAATATCGTTCTTTTTTAATCGTTGTCTAGCCACAGTTATCCGCGCGTTTCGTTCAYAACGGCGGAAAACGTCCAAAAATATTCGCTAGTGGGTATGCCGTCGGTGCAGATAAATTCGATCTGTTGGGTGGTGGGGGTGGAAAAACCGTGGTGACAATATTTTCAAAACAGACGTAGGTACATTCAAATTAACAATTTTCAAAAATATCGTGGAGGACGTTCGAATGACCCACGACCACACTCCCTTCGCCATAAAGCAATGGTGTCGAGTGTTTAGAGTGTTTACTGTTTAGACGTCAGTGAGCACAACTCTGAACACCGTTGCCGCACATTGAACCTCGCRTGGACCTTCGGAGGGAGATATCGCGGAGGCCCCGTCCTTGCAGAACCCGCGCGAATACGAACCGATGGTTGTTCCTGGATCCTATGACAATAAAATGTAAATTTTTACAATATTTCGTTAATTTTATGGATATCTTAAAAATTGCCGGTCTCGGACGGATGAGAACCCATAGGAATGTCGCTTTTTGTTGATTCTTTCTGTTCAATAACGGTGGCGCGGCGTATATAACTTGCTGTGGTTAGCCGGTATACAGGTAGCGGCCGACAATGTATTTTTGTAGTAAACACGACGATGATAAATGTTAGTAAAATATCTATTATGAAGTTTGATAAGATTATTTTACCGACGTGTGCAATATCACTATCTACTTTTATACCAATTATACGGATGTCGTCGGTTTGTGATTAAGTACGTGTTGTGAGCATTGGAGTATAATAGTAGCCACCGTTCTATTTGCGTGTCGGGAAACTTAGATCATTAGACGAATATTAAAAATCATTTCCCAGGTTGTGCCTCTTACACCTGTTAAATCGTAGATTGGAGAATGAATTCAGTGTCTCGACAATATGAAAATAATACATTATTTTTTATATTCAACTGGATCGGTATAAYAAATTCTTTGATCCTTGTGTAACCTTTACTAGGTAGTTCGGTTACGTATTGGCAAGCGTTCTGGATCATAATTTTTCTCTTAAAAAGACCTTTTTAATTAGCATCTTACCATTATTGTCAAACCTTATTTACGTTTATGGTGGCATTTCGGAAGGTGAGGGGTAAAGAAGATGACGAAGGCGGTCGCGTCCGGTACGTGTTGTTTGTGTACAAACACTACAAACATCAAATGCGATCTTTATAGGTACTCTTTTCGACCCTTTCGTTCGTGGTCCGTCCACCCCCTCGATGGTCTTACAATCCCTCTGGACTCAATATTGCAACAACAACATTAACAATAATAATAAAATATCAGTCTCTCGTTTGTGTTGCGCTCATCCGTCTTGCATTATCCAAATCGCATTGTCCGACCTCAATTCGACAATCTGCAATGACGTGCATATTGTATCGGCGTGGTTGCCATCGACAGTCAAAAAGAAATAATATCATCGTCGCGGTATGCACAATGCAGTGCCACCGAAAACTATAACGAATGACGATTGTTGCCAGTCGTCGCAAAATTTTAACTATTCATTCATAGGTACTCGAATCGTGTTCTGTCCGATTATATTGATAACAATACGCCAATACGGTTTGGTATTTCACATTATTCACATTTTTTCGACCGCTGACATTTTTATGTATTTTTGAGGACGTTACGGCTCTGTCGTTTTTTAATATTTCGGGTGAATAACACTTTTAATGTCAAACTTACAGGTGAAAGATATCGTTCTTGCGTAGGTAATGTTCCTTTGTTATTTAACCGATATTTTYTACCTTTGTAGCGTTTTGAAATTTAATCGTACCTATTTAATATTCATGAGAAAATGTTTTGAAAATYAATATATTTTAAGTATATTTATGATAAATCAAGTCTTATGGTTAAAATACTGACGTTCCACACAATTCCATATTTTTATAGCATTGTATTTATATCGTGCATTTGGATTCGCTACGATTTAGCTATAGAACTCGTTACAATGTAATCGTTATCTATGTACAAATCAATATAATATCTCTTCATTGTTATTTTCTTGTACTTAAAGTATTTATAGCCGTCCGCCGGGAACGAGTTTTTGACTACGATATTTTGATTGTTGCATAAATATTATCATCGCTTACAAATCTGTACGCGCGACTACCGTGTACGCGTCGCTACACGTTTTACAATAATAAAATAATAATATAAATGCGTATATTCTTCGTAATCAATAATCGTCATTATAAAACCCAGCGCGTGCAATAATAATTGATGCGGCGGTGCCTGTGATAACTGATAACGACATGCATTTACTTGATGTTTACCAGACTTGGATTGTATACCTACGCGATTATCTGAATGAAACGCGATCGTCAAACATTTTTTTTGTTACAATATATCGAGTTCGGTAGACAGTTGAAAAAATTCTGTTTTTTTCCGCTTGCATTTTTATATTCTCGCACGTGATTTATACATGCCTATTGTATTTAAATGCCGCGTAGTCGGATCATCGGACTCGCATTCTCAGATTTGTGATTTCRGATAAAAAAAAATAATAAAAAAACGTTTGCCATTGSTTTCGTTCTTGTAGTATAATATGAACAGTAAACACGTTTGATGCGTACAAAATATATAGGCCAAGTTACCTTCTTAAATAACAAAATTATATTAGTATTAGTATATAAGTATCCTGTATAGCATAATATGCGAATCCATAGCCTGCTGTGCAGTTTATTATTGAGAGCTACGGTGGTTTGGTATACGTCTTATTCTTAATATAATAATATTAAGATCGGTAACCACCAACCCCAATATTATTTATTAGCTCGTAATTTAYACAAGGTTCAGTTTTATACGAATTATATCAGTACATTATTCTACTAGTATGATCAGTACAGGTTTCAAATTAGAATAATATATATGACATTTTAAGCACACTACAATATTTATTAGTTGAAATCTACCGCTTAAACATAAAAATAATAAAATAATTTTAATATTCAATGAATAGGTACGACGRATAAAAAATGATTTTTTAAATCTTAAACGTATTTTATTGTGTACAATATCGAATWATAATATATAATAACAATTTTTCCGTGTACACAGTATAGAAGAGCACTAGAGCCTCAGTGGTGTTCTAAGATTTAATAAAATATTTGTGCAATTTATTCTATTATAATTTATTACCAACTATTWTGACTATTACATTTTAGTGGTTAAAATCTTAAAATATAATTTTCCTAGCGTTTAGTTATGTCGTAAAATTAACTTTATTTAGATATTCCTTCTGGTAAGGATTCATATTTTGTTAATTTATTTACTGCTTCGTTTATTTYTACACACATAAAAACCATCATTCTAATGCRCAACTTTAAAAAAGTTTCTACTAATTTACCTATAATAATTCAAGTTATTGATGTACTTATGTTTAAACACATATGATACGCCGTAACTTACTATTGCTAAGTTAGCAATGCTAACAAAAGTGAACATTTTCTTACGTTTCAAACATGATGCTGTAGTCCCAAGGTCGGGTCGTAATGCCGCATAAACTATAAATACATTGATTAAATGGTGAGGGATTAAGGATTTAGCCTTTTWTTAAATAAACACCAATATGCGATCTTATATTCTTATAATATACATATATATTATAATGATCATCTGCTAAYACTCAACAGTTTATGTAGGTATATAATATAATGCAACATACCTAATCTAATAGTATCGGATTACGTATACTCATGTAGGGATGAATCCAGAGCAAAGATCCATTACGAAGGTGATAATTCATTTAAATGTATGATGTATATGAAAAACAAATATTCGTAACTTGTACTTTCTTTAAATATAACATAACCACATAACTATTTAATCCATAACTATATTAATACGGCCAACTAAAATTAAGCCGCTGTTKTCCTGCTACGAGTGGCTGTTTTCTTCGTAAATAGTGGTTATCATGTTGCTGAAAATCCCAATGTTTACATGCATAGGTAATTGAGTTTACGATGCTAACTCAGTGATAAAATATTGTACAAACAAATAACATGTAATATGCATAACTAAGTGTGAATATTTAAATTTTAATAATAATTTGTGCTTACAATGTTCTTTAAATAAATATACGTGAGAAATAATATTGTGGAAACCCTGACAAAAAACAGCTTCTTGGAGCATAACAATCGCGGCTCATTTTTCGTTGGTAAGAGCACTCGTTAAGTTATCATTTTGAGACGCGCGGTATTATATAAATACAGTAAATAAGAAAATTAAAGACTATATTATATGGAATAGAACCCTTGCTCACTGTCTCCCTCCTGGATCCGTCGGTGAGCGTACTACTACTATTTATTAGTAAATAGATTGTTGTATTAGTTGTAGTTTTTTGTTTTTTTACTATATTGTATAGATTGTACATAATATAATGTGTATTATTAAAGCCATTGATTTTATGACTGTAGAACGACTTACTTAGAAACTGTAAAGTCTTCGATTATTTTTGTAAACTTACCTCTATAACACCAGTATACCGAGTTTTGAAAACGCTCGACGATCTCTCTTGAAACGAAAACGTCCTACGAATTACCCGTCCATTGTTTATTATAATATATTATATTATATAGAAGCCGGTTTGGTTTCGAAGTCAACTGCTTTGTTCACGTAACGAACGTACAATAATAAGAGTGACAAAGAACAAAAAAAATATATATACATCCTAAATAGAAGCGTTTGACTCGCGCGTTCAGTCGACTATACAATATAATATATAATTGTACCTAAATATAATAATAATACAATATTATAATGTATGTGCTTACAGAGAACAATGCGACTTACGTGAGGCGTGTGTTTCAGGCGATTAGCATAATGTCGAGMGGAAGCAGTGGCGCAAAGTCGGCTTCTGTCGGCGGCGAGGGCGTAAAGCCGGGCGTGGGATCGGCGTTCGTGCCGGTCATGCCGTCCAGCGGATCGTTCTACGGACACCCGTCGATCGCGTCGCTGCAACAGCCGTCGCCGTCGTCGGCCGACTTTTTCGCCGCGTCCATGATGGCTGACAAGCACAAGGCCCTCCACCAGCACCACCACCTGTCATCGCTCCAGCAGCAGCAGCAACAGCCGTCGCCGGGAATGTACGTGCCCAAACACAAATCACAGCAGCAACAGTCGCCGTCGGCCGCGGCTGCGGCAGCGGCAGCCGTTTCGCTGCTCCACCAGCAACAGCAGAACGAACTGATGGCCATGGCACTGGACAAGAACAAGGTGTTACAGGCGGTCATGCACCAGCGGGGCTATGCTCACCCATTCCTGCTCAACCCCGGCGGCCAGTACGGCACCCAGCCTCATTCGTCGCTATTCGGTGGTCCAGCCGCGGGCACCGGCCCTGGTTCGTTTGGCTCGGTAGCCGCGAGACCGCGTGCCTCGGCCGTGGGCGCGGGCGCGGCTGGCATCGGCCGGGCATCCCGACCGAAAAAACAGTTCATATGCCGGTTCTGCAATCGACAGTTCACCAAGAGCTACAACCTATTGATACACGAGCGGACGCACACGGACGAGAGACCGTACTCGTGTGACATTTGCAAAAAAGCGTTCAGGAGACAGGACCATTTGCGCGATCACAAGTAAATACCTAATTTATATCATACGTAGTCTTATCGTACATTTAACATTAGTTGTAGTAGGTTTTTACTGTAGGGAAGAGTATGGTTGATTTGGAATACGCGAATGTATGGCAGGGTTAATCACTAAGAACCTGGGTGGTCACCCATCTGGGGACTAGTGGCACGACCGGTGCTGGAATTCGAATCACGTCTTGCGATTGAAGCCAAACACCGCGCCATTTAAATCTATTGTTCGACTGTGTTAAAATATCAACTCAATGCAAATATCTTCTACTATTCTAGAAATTAGCTTTTGACAATATAGGTGTAATAATACTAAAGATAATACTATAAAGAAAACTTGAAGTGGATTAATAATTTTTATTTCCGCGTTCCTAAAAGTATGTAAATTATTAATAATATATTTAAACTAGGTTATTTAAAAACCAATCATGCTTAAAATTTTAATGAGTAAAAATCTGCAAAATATATTTTCACGTATCTACTAAAAGTTACATAATATTATGTTAACGATTCAATGTGATATTTAACTACATTTCTCTGGACTAAATTTATTTAACGAAGTCAGATATTGAAAAAAAAGTTGACAGAAGAATACATTCAATTCTTAGTCTTTATGAGTTGTAGCAATATTATTATAAGATGACTGCATAGAACAATATCCTTATTAAATCACGTACCTATTATTGTAATTTTTTTTTTTACATGAAAGAGAAAATTGCGTTTTATTTATAAAATATAGGATACATGGGACAAAATCTGAATTTCAGTTCCAACCTTGGGGTTTGGCTTTAAAAAGTAACGCTCTCACGCAACTCTTAAATACTAGGAGTTGCTCCTTCTCGAACAGTGCTTTTTGCGCTGTCTTGTTTGAAAATTTGTGCCCTGTACCCCCTCTCCCATCGGCCATCGCTAACAAAGGACGAATTATCAGAGTAAACACCCCATACCTATATGTGCATATAATGTAGTTTAGTGTCGTTTAAATAAAGAACACGAGCACGGATAAAATATACGACGAAATATGTATCCGATCGGTATTTTTTATTTCAGAAATTCCAACCTAACCTGTAGCAGGTATATGTATTGAATTTCGAGTTGTGATTTTTTTTTATACGTTATGCTTATGATCGTGTGCGATTTCGCTGAGAGCGAATGTACCTCGGTGGCGGCGGCAGCACGCGGCCTAGCAGGTATATAATATAGCAAAGTGATAATAAAATCGACCACCTTGATGCGGTGACAAATAATATCACTTGGTGATTCTCTGTGCGTAGGAAAAAAAACACAAAAACCGGTTCGTGTGTTAATTAAGAAATGTAGTAAAGGACCGACTGGTGTACACGTGTTGATGTGCGTGCATATGGCATCGATCGAAATAGGAGGATTGATAAAATAACGATGGGAATGATAAAAAGTTGAAAATATAGCAAATTTTAGTTCATCGTTCAATCCGATTGTTGCCATCTTTCGGAAAAGTTCGTTGTATGTATTTAGGTATATTAAATTATTATAATGACCAAAGTTAAGCCACATTCCTTTGCTGGGAGCAGGATGATTTGTGACTATACACGTTTAAATTGATTGCATATATTTCTAACTAATTATAAAGAATTTCTTTGAAGCAAACGCGTTTTGCAACAGTGTATATACCAAAAGGAACAATGAGAACACTCCTCATCGTATTTATACGCAAAATCTTAGACGTCGTGAAGGTCATATCAAGTATTTCAAAGTAAACATTTTTCAACTTTTCAGAAATTTCTTTTACTTCATTAATTTTGAGAAGTCCAATCCAGTACCGGATCTACAAATTATGCAACCCGGGGCACAACATAATATTAGCGCCCCTAAAAGTCACCAAATCATAAAAATGATGAGTTTAAAATTTGAAATTGGCGCCCCTCTATGATAAACGCCCGGGGCATGGGCCCTGGATCGCCCTCCCTAGATCCGGTACTGGTCCAATCATCAGTCCCACTAGATTTTTTCAGACTTCTGTAACCGTAGTTCCGTTTTTTTCAGAGGCCACTTTTACAGTATCTCAAAATTTTTATTCATCTATTATCTGAATCGAATTTTTATGTTGATTTGTTTTTTTAAATATTTTTTTTGGTTTCAATTTAAATCGATTCACTACGGTGAATCATCCATCTCTATTATATATAGAGTATAGGTATAGACAAGTTCATAAGTAAAGTTCAAAAACTGTCGCGCCGAGTTTATCACGCCATTGATCGGGTATCTACTATCCGAGTAGATTACATTATTTTTCGCATACTCTTGTTATAATATTTTACGCATGTTATAACACGATACGAATATAATATAATATAGGTAATACACGAACGACGGGTTTTAACTTTTAATTATTATCGGAGAGAACCTGCAGACGCGCACCGCAACCGTCTAGGCTACGATAGCTGCAGTGCATTCAAGTCTCGACCGTGGTGTATTATAATACTTATTATGTTCCTATTCCTATACATATATATATATATATATATATATATACGTAATATACCGTGGTCTGTCCGAACCAGGTGCGTGCAGTGCGGAACCGCATGCGATGTGATTATAATATACGTGGCGGTGGGTGTATAATGTATACATATATCGTGTAAGTAATATATAATATTATATTATGCTCGTGCAGGAGGAACGGGGAGAGGATGATCTGGTTTTATATACGCGACGGAATGCTGTACTTTCGGTGTATAATAATAATAATGATAATAATATTATTATTATTATTAACAACATTTATGCGCACACGAGCGTAATCGCTCTGCTATAAAATACGACTGACTAGGTATAGGTTATTATTATTCGCAAATGTATATAATTGGAGCGCGGTAATAAACGTTTCGTCAAAGGAAAAAACCTCACTTATATATCTCTCGTATAAGTATATCAAAATCGGATAATAAAATATATGGTCGCAGTGGTTTTAAACGAATTCAACCGATTTATATAATCCACTTATTAATATCGTATAAGTATTAAATATAAAGCTTTTTCCAGCGGACCTATTTTTGGAGACTGCAGTACTCGTTGTTCGCGATCTTAAAAGAAATAATTATATGATTAAAAATATACCTGTTTTCGTCGTGTATCCACCACTTTGTGATGATGATAGTTTTGTGGGGAGGGTTAAATTGCACCGAAACTGCAGAATTAGGAGTTATTTTTATCAAATTAATAAAAAAATTTTGTTATAAGTTTGACAATTTAAGTATAGAAAAAGCATGTATTAATTTTTTACTGTTCTATGAACTGGATACCGTGACCGTGTTATATTTAATGCGATTATTACGTAATGATTGTAGACTGTTTTATAATATATTTTTTATTTTTTTATTTAATTTATTTTTTTTATTTTTTTTATTCATCGTATATGATTTTTATTCGGCGTGTCGGCCGTCGGGTGTATGGTGGACATATAGCGGCAGCGCCGTCGTGTGTATGTGTTATACTGTTATGTATATACGTCACATGATGATAATAATAATAATTGTGGTAGTATTAATTTACGACGACAACCATCACGAGCCTAGGAGGTATAAAATATTTACTACGCCCGTCATGTATAAAACCAATGTGGCTGGGGGCCCCATGCTGGCCCGACACTCCTCGGCCGAATACTCTCCAGGTATACGTCTCGTGTATAAAATTATCGTATATAATATGCACTACGAATTTATATGTTATAAACACCTACTCCCACCCATTCTTGTGGTTTTCCTCTGTATTAATGTTTTTTTACTGTCCCTCCTATGATTTTCACGTTTCAGATTTATCATTATAACATCATTAATATTATATAAGACATATATAATATACGTATAAAAATGATGCACTCACGCGTATATGTAACCCGTTCATGGTGTGCCATGGTCTCATTCGCGTGATACGCACACCTCCGCCCTAACTAAGCGCTCGATCCTCTCTCGATAGATCCGGGTCTACAGTCTATATGCAATGCCTGCCGATTTAATTACCGAGATTTTTTTGCTGCATAATATTAGGTTATAATATATTATGCGGCTTTGTACGCGACCAAGCAGTGGGTATAAATGCATATTATATTTTATTACGCTGCACATGACTATGTGGTATAAATTATAATAATATTTTACGAGACCCGTAGCCCACTAATGGAGCTTACCTATATTATAAATCGTATATATAACCACCCGAGTCCGTTTTTAATTCCTCCCTAAACCCCTCGGTGCGCCACCCGGTCAATGGCCGTACACACACACTTACATTTTATATGTGGTAGTATATGATGTTATTATTAATTGTCGTTGACTTCACGGGGGATACAAGTCGTTTGGATATTCTATACACCACTTTATATAATATGATGTACTCCTAGGTAGTAGGTTGTGACGACGATCGTTTATCAATAAACCTGCACAAAAGTCACATTACTGCCGCTGTGATTTTGACGTGCATTAGTCCGCGCGTTGTTATTATTATTTTTTCTATATTACATTGTGCATCGCGTATTATGTTATATTATAATCTTTGTGTACGACGCAGCGACAATATAATGTGTAAAAACTAAAAACGAAAGAATATCACATAAAATTGATAGGTAGTTTAACGTTATACGACCATGGTGTTTTTAATGATTTTATTCTTTTCGTTTACGGAGATGAGATTTTCACATAAAACGTGGTGTTATATTGGGTTAGTTTCATAGCTTACCCGAAAGAATAAAATAATATACATAATAATATTATATATACTATTAACACGTGCATTTAAAATTAAAACAACACTCACTATCTCCCTCTCGTATGCATTTAAGAGCGAAAAGGTATTTATTTTTGTTGAAGACCTAAATATTGAATTTATATTGTCGTGAACTTCAAACAAAATATCTATTAAAATCTGACACTATATAGTATTTAACGGATGCAGGTCGGTGCCGGGTGTAGCGTTAAAGTCTCTGTATCATATCTATATTTTATTTTATATAGGTACTTAAA